AATAAATTAATAAAAATTAATAAAAATTAATAAAAATTAATAAAAATAAATAATAAATAAAAATAAATAAAAATAAATAAAAATAAATAAAAATAAATAAAAATAAATAAAAATAAATAAAAATAAATAAAAATAAATAAAAATAAATAAAAATAAATAAAAATAAATAAAAATAAATAAAAATGAATAAATATTATTAAAAACTAATAAAAAATTAATAAAAATTAATAAAAATTAATAAAAAATGAATAAAAATGGATAAAAATAAATAAAAATAAATAAAAATGAATAAAAATGAATAAAAATGAATAGAAATGAATAGAAATTAATAAAAATGAATAAAAATGAGTAATAATAAATAAATACAAAAATAAATGAAAATCAATAAAACTAATTAAAATTAATAAAAAACGAAGTCATATATTTTTTTATATTAATAACACGACTACATGCGAGAAAAGTCGCGAGCAAAGCCGCGGGCAATAGCTAGTTTCTAATACTTGTTATTTATTGATTCCCTCATAGAGCTTAATTTTTACTAAACATTTCATGTTGATATCACCTTTGTTTTTTTTTTATTTTAACCCTCTTGTCCCTTTTTTATTTAGTTTTTTTTTTTTAAATCAGCCTTTGTTCCCTTATAGAGCTTAATTGTTGCTAAAAATTTCAAGTTGATATTATTGTTCGTTTTTGAGTTAGGATTTTTTCTATTATTATAACCCTCCTTAATCCCCAATTTATTCAGATTTTTTCAGAATCAATAGGCTTCATCTTATAGAGCTTGATTTTTACTAAAAATTTCATGTTGAATTTTTTTCAACCCCCCTTGACCCCCATTTTTAATCAGATTTTTTTTAAATCAATAAGTTTTGTCCTTTTATAGAGCTAAAAATTTTTGCTAAAAATTTCAAGTCGATATCATTTTTTGTTTTTGATTTAGGATTTTTTATTTCAACCCCTTTTAACCTCCCATTTTTATTTAGATTTTTTTTTCAAAATCAATAGGCTTCGTTCTCTTATAGGGCTTGACTTTTTCCTAAAAATTTCAAATTGATTTTCGTGTTTGACTTATCGTGCGGACATAAAACGTGACATCGGACGGTCGGACAAAGTAAACCTACGAGTACACTCTTCACAGACTACTGTGTTAAGATTATAATAAAAATAAACCTTTTTTGGTTTTAAAATCAACATAAATTATTATTGAAAGTTAATATCAAAGAAGGCAGATTGACTCATAAAAATAGAATTTGGTTAAACTTACAATCTAATAATAATGTTGTTTTGATCCTTATTTTCCAGTCTAAATCAGCACAAAATAATTAAAACAATATACGACAAAATAACCCACTTTCTTGAAATCTAAATAACTTTAAAAATATTATTTTCTATTTTTCAATAAAAGAATGAAGTTAATCATATGCAACTAACAATACAATGCTCGTCCCGCAAATATTCACTCATTACATAAAATTATTTGCCTAAAATTTTTCTTTTTAAAAAAATGTAAAAGACGAATGAGAATGTTGGGACACTATATGCCATTTATTTTTCTGCCTGCATCAAAACAAAGTTCGTTTGGACGCTAATTCCATGTAAATATATGCTAGAAGAATTATTTGGCAAAAAGCATAGGCGTACACATGGTTAAATAGGCTTCAATTTTACCATTTTTTTTGTGATGGCTTTAATAATAACTTTTCGTAAATGTAATAAGTTGTGTGCTAAAATTTGTGTTTGTTGTTTTTTTTTTTATTTTGTACTTTGAATCTTATAATAACATTTTAATACGTATTATATATGATAATTTATATACCCTGTTTGAAAAGTTGTTAGAAGTTTAAAGAATATTCAATAACAGCAGAATTATAAAGCAACTATGCCTTGAATATTGTTAATGTGAGATAATAAGTGTGAAAATAATAATTATAAAATAGAGGTCGTTTTCAATTAATAAATAAAAAGTATAATAATCAATTAATCATTCGTATTATGTAATGTGTATAATTATTATCAAATATATAATTATAATTAATGTTTTATTGTCAATCGACTAAATAAATCTTAATAAAATGTGTTACACATTTCAAATGATGCACCAAAAATTAGTAAACTAAATCCTACTTTGCAAAGCGATTGTAAAAACATAGATACTTGTATATACCATTTTACCGAAATTACCGAAAAATTTAAAGAATTTTACGAGGGTTTATTTTTTTTTTAATCAGATTAATATTATTCACTTATAAAATCTTACGAATTTTTTGTTCTATCGTGGAGCACTAGTTTTACAAAATATGACTCAAAATGGTATCTTATTGTTGACATTTTTTTCTTATTTCATCGATAAAAACGCATTTTTCTATAATTAACTCTTTTAGATATATATGTTGAGTTACCTTTTTCCAGATAAAATTATAAACATGTTCTTTGAAAAAACTCGTATTACTAATACTCTTGTTTCTACAGCTGAACATCCTTGTTTCTGTCACTTAATATAAGTGATATCAACTACCGAACACCCCATGCTTCCATTTTTAATTATATAATTACATATTTTTTCAACTACATAAGTACTTATCATTCTTTATTTCAACTACTGACCATCCCGTGTTTCAACTATTGATCTAAGATTAATTTCAACTAAGTACTAATTGTATGTTTCTACTACTAAACTTCCATTGTTTCAATTACTGAACAAATCTTATTCAACTAGGTATTGAACATCTTTTGTTTCAACCTCGGTTTCAACTACTGAACATCCCGTGTTTCAACTCTTGATCTAGGATTAATTTCAACTAAGTATTGATTGTATGTTTCTACGACTAAACCTTCATTGTTGCAACTACCGAACACATCTTATATCCAACTTGCACATCTTTTGTTTCAACTAACGAATACACTTGGCTTGAATTACGAAACTGTTTCATATTTAGAACATTTCTTATTTAATTATTAAACCTATCTTGTTTCAAGCACAGAATATATGTTAGTGGAAATGCCGAACAACTCATGTTTCAACTACTGAACATTCTTTATTTAATTACTGAAGATCTCTTGTTTCAACTACCAAACCTTGCTTGAAGACCTAACTAACCCTTGTTTCAATTTCTTAAGATTCCTTATTCAATTATTGACTATCTCTTGTTTCTACAACTGAACGTCCTTATTTCTGCCACTTAATATAAGTGATATTAACTACCGAAGATCTCATGCTTCCATTTTCAATTACTGAATATACATATTTTTTCAACTACTTATCATTCTTTATTTCAACTACTGAACATCGCGTGTTTCAACTGTTGATCTAGGATTAATTTCAACTAAGTATTGATTGAATGTTTCTACGATTAAACTTCCATTGTTTCAACTACCGAACACATCTTATCCAACTATTGAACATCTTTTGTTTCAACTAACGAATACACTTTGCTTGAATTACGGAACTTTTTCATGTTTAGAAAATTCCTAATTTAATTATATTAAACCTATCTTGTTTCAAGCACGTTACGCGTTTCTTTATTAAAGAAATGTCACAATTTACGTGTTTTTAATAATTATGGGACTATCTATGTCCCGGGGGTCAAATAACAAAATATATAAATGCAGACCTTAATGAGGACTCTATTGCCTTAAACTAGGCTTCGTGGCCATTAACTATATGGGGGGTTTATTCGGCAATTAAAACCTCTGAAGATTAAAGGAAACACAACGTTTTCTTAAAACAAATATATTATATATTTAACATAAAAATACAAAAGAGGCTACAGCTCGACATACACAAATATGGGCTCAATGTAATAATAAGTACACAAAACGTAAACTTACCAACTCCACTAATATTTGGGCACATGTCACAACCCTTAGCTAACTATTGAAAAATACAATTATTCAAAATACAAAATAAAGCCTTTTAAATTAAACTATGAAGATCAAGAGCTGGAGCTGCTACTGGGAATCTCCTACAAGGGCGACCTCCTATGGGGAGGATCCGTTCCCTGTGGAAAAAGCCCTGCGCATCCCCTCGACATTACCTTTATAACTTTTTCATAGTTTATTGTTATTAAACTAATGTTTAATAATTATTAAATAATCAACCTTGCACATGCTTGCGATTCAAAACAAATTGTCGACATACTTAAACAAAGTTTTATGTACAGGATGTTATTTAAATAATTAATTAAAATTAGGAAAAATATGAATTTATACGAGTCGTGACAATATGTTAGTAGAAATGCCGAACAACTCATGTTTCAACTATCGAACCTTGCTTGAAGAGCTAAATAACCCTTGTTTCAACTGCTCAAGATTCCTTTATCTAATTACTGAACATCTTTTGTTTCAACTAACTAATATATTTTGCTTGAATTGCCGTACAACTCATGTTTCAATTACGGAATATTCTCTATTCAATTACTGAAGATCTCACTACCGAACTTTGCTTTTAGGGTTTAATAACCCTTATATCAACTTCTCCTCAGAATTCCTTAATTATTGAACATATCTTCTTTCAAAAGCTGAACATCCATTGTTTCTCCCACTTACCGTGGGTGATATCAACTACCGAACATAACATGCTTCAATTTTCAATTAATGCATATTTCTTCTTACAACTACTTATCGTCTTTTATTTTAATTGCTGATTGCTGATCTATTGATCTAGGATTAATATCAATTAAGTACTGATTGTATGTTTCTATTATTAAACTTCCATTGTTTCAATTACCGAGCACACTTTGCTTGAATTGCCGAACAACTTTTGTTTCATCTTCGGAACATTCCTTATATGATTTATTGAACATGTCTTGTTTCATGCACCGTATAATATGTTGGTAGATCTGCCGAACAACTCATGTTTCAACTACCGAACTTTGCTTGAATAGATTAATAACCATTCTTTTAACTCACAAGATTTCTCATTGAATTATGGAACATTTCTTGTTTCAACTATCGCATGTTCCTTATTATGGGTTATTAAATTATTATTTTTGTTGTTCCAGGTCTGGACGTGGGCACTCTGGTGGAATGCGTGAAACAGGAACCGGACAACGATTTCGCGGACCTGGACCAGTGCGCGGCGGCCCTGGAAAAGGACGCGGCGGCGAACGGCGGTGCCGGTTTCGGGGGATTCCCCGATCTCATCGGCGACGACACCAACGACGAGATCATCTCGTCAGCCACTTTCAACGATCTCATCTCCGATATCTCCAACTATCCCGATTACGAATTGATGAAGGATTTCGATTTCGAAGACACCAAATTGGACGCCAAGTCGGAGGACATTAAGGTAAAGAAACAAATAATATTTTTTGGTACTCCGTTGTTAATGTTATTTCGACGGTTGTCGGTATCAGAGCCACAACTGATTTATTTCACTTGCCACTTGTCGCCTGTCCTATATCCGTTAAAAATGTGAGACATGGCTAGATGATTTTAAAATGTAATTTTAATCACATTCCGGTCTTTCTTTCGATTCAGTGATTGTTCCTAGTCAGGGTTGGAAAACCTAGTAATTAAAAAATATATAAGTAGGTTTTTAAAGGTTTTTAGTTCATAATATGTCAAATATTATGAACTAAAAATTAATAAACTTAAACAAAAAAGACAAGCAAAATTTTAAAAATAGAATTTTATTTTATTAAACAAATCACATTCTGTAAACAAAAAAAAACTAAAAAGTGAAAAATAAATAAAGGTATTTTTTTATTTGTCACTAGGTTTGGGCGATTATCAAAATAAATAATTGAATATTTTCGATTAATCGATTAATTAAAAATAATCGATTAATTTTTTAAATCTGATTTTTTTATTTGGGTTTGTATTAAATGTAGTCCATCTTTAGATAATAATTAATTACTACACTTAATACTTAGATTAAAGAGACCAAAGATGTAACATTGCACACTGCCCATATTGTCTATTTTTAATCCCAAATAACCCACCATATGAAAATCATTGTTTGCACGACGCCACCCGAATTGCTCCGATTTTTTCATTCAACGCTCACCTCCGCCTGAGTTCAATCACCATTGACATCTGTTTTTTGATTTATTTGTTGGTGTTTTAGCAATTTAAAATGTTCTAGTTATTCAATTTTAAGTTTAAAATGCCACGATGTATCTTGAAAAATTGTATATACTTATAATACGAGTACTAATGTTATGAAAGATAAAAAATATTTTCGTTTTCAGCGATAAATATTTATTAACGTTTTGACATAAAGCGCCATGATCCTTTGGGTTGAATACTTCAGATCCGCATTAAGGGGTTTTAATAAATATTAAGCATCAAATACATATTTCAGAAAACAAATTTCATATTACTTACATAAATTTACAAAAGGGTAAAATATAGAACATTTAATTTAAATAAGAAGTAAATAGGGATTGTTACTAACGAAATTTTGTTTTTAAAAAGTAATTTTAATAGAATATTTACTAATGGTGGTTTTTAGCCCTTTTTGGTAGATAAATAAGAAGTAAAGAAGCATAGTTGCTAGCTAAATTTTATTTTTATAAGATATTTTTATAAAAATATTAGATGAAATACAGGATGACCTACTTAAAATTTCAAGGTTCATCTTATTTGCGGTCAAATCGAAAGTGACATTTAAATCTTGAGTCTTAAAACAAAGTAAAACGCATATGATCTAGTATAAGCAAAAAATACTAAAGTTACGGGAGTTACTCACATTGTTAATAAAATGTTACATTATAAACCCCTAAACAACTCGAACAAAATTTTCGTTTAGTAAAAAATCCAAATTCTAGCAATATTTATTATTTATTATACAATCGAATGCGGTTTCAAAGATAACGGGATCAAAAAATCCGAATCTCTAAATTTTGGAGCTACATGTTGGGATAAAAGCAAGCGACCGTTAGGGGTTACAAAAATAATCTATTTATCGATTATTGTGATATTTTTTTATGAAAATCGATTTATCCGTTTTTTTAATAAATTATTTTCGTTTTTTAAGATAATGTAATAATTGATTTTAAAGGAAATACAAAAAGAAATTAGATTTATTCAAAATAATCGATTGATTGAAAATAATCGATTATTTTCGATTTTTCAAAGGTATTATATGAAAATAATCGATGTATCGAATATAATCGGCTATTATTTATAACCGATATTTCGGTCGTTTTTTAGAATTGTCGATTTATCCGTTAATCAGCTTTTTAATAATTGATTATTTTCGATTTATCGATTATTTTAAAGGAAATATGAAAAGGATTTTTAGAAAATAATCGATAATTCGGTTTATTTTTTTGGAAAATAGATTTATCGTAGAATCGGCTTCTTAATTAATTGGTTATTTTGGATTAAGCGATTACTTTGGAATAATCGATTATTTTCGGAATTTTAAAGATAATCGAATTATCGATTTTAAAGGAAATGCAATAAAAATAAATTAATGATAATAAACGATTGATCGAAAATAATCGTTTTTTTTAATCGATTTATTAGTTAATCGACTTTTTAATTAATCGATTATTTTTGATTAATCGATTATTTTTTATTAATCGATTATTTTCGATTTTTCAAAGATGATCGAATAAATGGACAAAAAAATGGATTATTTGAAAATAATCGATTATTTCAAATAAACGATAATTCTTTTATTATTTTTTGTAAACAGTGATTTATCGGTTAAGTGGCTTTTTAATTAATCGATTATTTTTTATTATTCAAAGATAATCAAGTAGTCGATTTTAAAGGAAATACGACAAAAAAATAGATTGTTTGAAAATAATCGATTATTTTTAATGATCGATAATTTATTTCGATAATCATCCACCCCTAGCGACCAAATGACTTTTAATAGGTTTAAATTTTAAAATGTTATCTGGTTTCAGACAAATGCATTTCTAGAGTTTTATGTGACTCATCCTCTATATTAATTAATATTCATAAAGAAAGAAGTTGAGGTTACAATACAAAACAGCATTTTCTCATTTTGACTAATTTTTAATATTATGTAATAGCCGTAGAAAAAATATAATTTTCAACTCACAAAGTTTGATTTGCAGTATTCGCCTGCGCACATGCTTTTTTTATAATACTCGTAGACAATGAGTACCATTTCTTGCTCTATTACAATATTCTTTTTCAACATTTTACTGTAGTCTCTTGCTGAAAAGTCCGTAGTAAATAAACGCTAACGAAATATTCTATAAAAGGTCTTCTCTTTACATAAAATGTCGTGGCATCTGTTTGATATTAAAAAATCACGTTAATTTTATTTCATAATACAAAATTCCATTAAACGTATATTTTAAATAAATCAAATAGTTCATTATGATGCTAATAAACAAAGTCCGGTCCCTGACACAGAGTTCGGGTCTCTGCCCAGTTTCCCCACTCCGTTAACCTTTCTTTAGAAATTGACAACATTTTCGCAGGTTAAACCCCGATGTATGTTATATATCTGGATTCTCTGGTCTATTTTATCTAAGACTTAATTAGTACAAACCCAAATACAGATTTAAAAAATGGTTATTACAATATATCGTGGGCTTACAAGCAAAAGGCACTAAGTCAAACATTTGTCAAAATGGGTTTATATTTTTGTATATCATGTAAAGACAGTGCATTGTATTCCGAATGCATATACATTTTCTTTGAAGCAGTTGATAATCACTAAATAATTTATAAAAAAATTTGGACTTCATTGAAACTTTAAATTGCTCATAACTCATAAATCTACTTTTTGACTTAATGCCTTTTGCTTGTAAGCCCACGATATTATGTTTTAACATTTTACACTATAATGATTTTATTATAGAAGCACGCCAGTATGATTGAGCATTTCGTTTCTAATCGATTACTAGAAAATAATCAATTAATCGACAAATAATCGATTGATCGAAAATAATCGAATAATCGAAAATAATAGATTAACCGAAAATAATCGATTATTTCGATTAACCGAATCATCGAAAATTATCGATATAAAAAAATAGTAATCCATTATTTTGTCCACCCTTAATATAAATATAAATATAAAGATAACCTTTGATAAAATATTTGCATTTTTTGTTTTTATACACCAATCTATCTATTGCATCCTACCTACTGAGGGTGGATTATTAAAATTCTGAATTCAAAATATTTCTCTTAAGAAACTTAAAATTGCAGATTATTTTCTGTTGAGTTATTTAAGGGTGTTTCCATAAGGTTTATCGATCATTTTCAATTGTTTGTGCGGCGTTTTGAATTCTAGCCCAAATTTCATTTTCTGTATCTACAGGAAAAGTATACTCTTTAATACTTTCCACAAAAATGAATTACAAATGTTTAGATCCGGTGATCGAGGTGGCTATTTTAAAAAGGTGTCCATTTAAATGCATATATTCTATCGCACTTGCAATTCATTGGTCGATTCTACATTGGAATTTTTAATTTCAGAACATTCCAATACAAGAAATCAAACCATCGAATCAAAGTCCCCATTTGCAACAACAAAATAATCAAAATCAGCAGCAGCAACAACAACAACAGCAACAAAACTCCAACTCCAGGGGGATGCCCTCAGGGTATCCCAATATCGATTTCCCAAAGACTGAACTTAGTCCTGCTGCTCAAACCTTGAAGCAAATGGCCGAACAGGTTGGTTATTTTCTTTTAAGTTTTTTCCAATAAAATATTTAATTTCTGCCACTTTTATGGCTTTTAGACAAGCGGTTTTTGGTTTTTTCCATGAGAATTTTTTTTGTAACTTTTTCATTTAAAATGTACGTTTTTTATATTTCAAACAATTTTGATTTCACCCAGCACCAACACAAGAGTCAAATGGGCCTATCATTTACTGCCGCGAGATCGCCATACGGGGAATTCCAATTCCAGGGCAGCGATTATGGAAGCCCAAATTCGATACACAAGAACAGTCCCGGATTCCCTCAACCCGATATGATCAAGCAAGAAATGATATTCCAGGTAAGAATTAATATTTAAATAATATTAGATGTATGTAATACCTATTTGACAATGTTTCAAATAATCTTCTACTAATAATTCTAATATGCACAATGTCTCTAAAACTAATAATACATTCTGTACAAGCCAATAAGTATTACCTGATTTTGACGTTGAAGTGTTTTAAAAGAAAATTACGTGAAGCGGTTTTTCCCGCTGACGATTTTTCCCGCCCGTGATTTTTCCGAATATTTCTACGGTCCGTTTTTACTTTCAGAATAGTGAATACGATATGAAACGTAAAAACGCCGGGATCTACAAACAACAATACTCACCCTACAGCAGTCCCAGCGCTAGCAGTCACGGCAGCCCTGGGTATCTACCTAGAAACGCGCCGCCTCCAAATGCGCCCAATTCGGGGGCTTTCGGAGGCGGTACGCCGCCCAGGCCGCCGTCGGGTCCCGGAGGCGGAAATAACTCAAATTCTGGCGGTACTAACGTGCAGATTAACCAGGCGCAGCAGTTGAATATCAGCCAGCAAAACCATGGTCACACGATACAGGTAAGTCATTTTGAGATTTATTTTCCATATGACGTTTTTGTGATTTTTATAAGTTTTGTTTACATTTGGGACAGCAAAACAACATTAGTTACATTACGCTAGCGGAGCTTAGTTCTTTCCGGTTTTTCGATGTGATCATTTGGATCTTAATACATTATACTCGAAGTTGTGCTTTTTTGAAAGGTTGCCAAATATAAGTGTCGAAAAAATCGCGTACCTTAAGCCTATCCATGTAAAAATATTTGGTCTTTTTATCCCTTTAGCCTGCCAATATCAAAATATAGTACTTATTTTATCGCGGTAGGCATACGATTAGTATATCGCTCACCCGCGACAGTAGTGGCACATCTAAGAAAATCACAAAACACGTGAAACAATTTAAAATTTGATGAAATTTCATCCAACAATACTGGCATAAAATTAGATCAAATAATCTCTTCGAAATGGCGTTTGCGCCACTACGGGCTACCGCGAGCTGAGCTCATTAAGTTGCAGCAAAACCGGCATTTTTTCAGGGTGCCGTTGACTGTGCTTAGGGATTCTTCGTTATGTTTCAGCAATAGTGACACATCTAAAAAATAGCAACGATTTGTTTCAGTATTAGTGGCACATTTTATGTGTTTGGGTTATTTTAGTTAAATGCGCCAGTACAGTTGATACAATGGATGAAACTTTTAAAATCGCCGATGCTCCAATAATTAGGGTAGGGAAAAATCACAGACTCGTTTTTTTACAAAACGTCTTTCAAAAATACAGATTTTAAGCAAGTCCAAGTGATTCATGCAAGACGTTCAAGAACATCCCTATTTTTTTTAGACTTTGAACTGAAAAAAGCTTACGATAGTCCCATATTATTTATTACTAAAAAAATATGACGATCTCATGTTTTTTTAAGAACCAACGCTATTAAAAATTGTCACAGTTATTTTTATAACAGTTTAAATTTTGAGTAAAATGATTAGACGTTAAGTAAGACTGATTTTCCAGAAAATGTAGTCGTATTTTTAACATAGGTTATCTTTCTTTTGTTACGTATTTCTCTCTTATAACGCCATTTTCAATAAAGCAAGAGTATCTTCTATATTTAATTTTTATTTAAAAATAACACAACAGTTTTCATTGCACTTTTTCAGAAGTTTTCATCAAAACCGTGTCACTTGGTTCCAATAATAGTGGCACATCTAACAAATATAACCTTTTTTTAAAAACAAAAGAGTAACTTAACAATCCTCGATTATTTGGCACATAAAAACACACCAATAATCACCAGTCAAGTTCATTAATGATATTTAAATGACATCGCAACATGAAAAATTAAAATAACTGAAACTTTAAATGCAGTTTTCTCCATAATTTGCAATTTTGAGTTGTGCCACTATTGTCGTCGGTGAGCAATATAAGTTAATAAAATGGCAACACGGCAACAGCCAGTCGTTGACTATAATTAGAAGATATAGTGGTGGGATATTAGCCGAACCGAAAGTCAGTCACAAAGCTAGAGCGCATAGCGATACCGGGGATATCGTAGTTTTTACATGTTGGCTGTGAGCGCACAGCTATATGTAATATAAAATAATAAGTACAGTATTTGTCTCATTACCGATTACGTATATTTATGTAAAAATACTTTGGCTGTTTACCCCTTAAGGGCGTTCTCGATTTTTGGCGTTATCGGTTTCCGAAACAAGACAGAGAACCACTTACTTTTATAAACAAACGAAATGACCCTCAATGAAGGTGTAACCATAGGGGAAAGTAGCGACAATAAACAAATTAAATGCTCCAAACGTTTTAAAATTCCTTGCTAAGTGTTTTTATAAAGTTAATAACGGTAAACAATTTATTAATTTATTAGGAAACTAGCTGACCCGATCCCGCGTCGCTGGAATTTTTCAAACCTCAATTATCAAAAAACAATTTTCGCTACTCGAGAGAAAGTGTTTCATGCGATACCCGGCAAAAAAAATTCTATCAATTAAATTACTTTTTATTGTTACATTAAATGCATGATTATTATTTGTTACTAATTTTTATTTATTTATTTTTACTTACCTATTTTATTAATTTTTATATATTTAAATTAATTTTTATATATTTAATTTAATTTTTTAATATTTTATTTTTATTTTTTTATTTATATTTATTTATAATGTAAAAATCCAAAACCTTGAAATACGTCATTATTTACTTATGATGAGTAGTCCAATTTTCAAGTTCCTACCTTTAAAAAACCGAACGTCTCCTACAAATTTTCACCTCCCGTTTCCCCCGTTAATACGTAAAAATCCAAAAAACCCTGAAACATGTCGATTTATTTATGATGGGTAACTACAATTCCAATTTTGAAGTTTCTACGTTTATAAAAATCGATACATCCATGCAAACTTTCACTCCCCGTTTCCTCCTCTTACAATGTGAAAGTCCATTTTATTTATATATATTTATTTATTTTTTTTTTTCACGGTACTACCCATTCCCCTCCCCTCCTTAAAATGTGAAAATCCAAAAACCTTAAAATACATCATTAATCGAAAGTAATCGATTAATAAAAAATAATCGATTAATCGAAAATAATTGATGAATCGATTAATTAGCCCACTCCTACCCTAGTGGTCGGCAGTCAACCTGTTTTCAATAGAGATTTGCCATGATTAAATAAACACTATTTTTAAAACGATTCCTCTCAAGTTGTAGCAATTATTTTTTTAATCGCATAAAAAAATAATTTTTAAAATCGGATTTAAAATAAAGCCATAATTCTTTAAATATCAAAATTATTTTTCTACGAAATTAGCAATTTTATACTAACCCGCGGGTAGTAACTATTTTTTATATACATTGAAAAAGCATTGTAATATCTTGAAAATTGTGTCTTCTAGGACCATTATGATTTATACAGTGAGCATCATAATTCTTACCCCCCTATCTAACTCGTTACTGGATTCGAGACACGTCGATTTTTGATTTCTACAATGTACATTTTTGTATGAATAGTTTACCCTTAATTTCATCCCTTACTGGAGGGGAGAAACCCTTTCGAAATATTTAATAAATGGCATGGGGTGGTGAGTGATAGCTCATTTAAAAGGGGGTTTTATTCTCTATCCAACCGTGCAAAAAATTTTGAAATTTGCTTCATTACGTGTTGATTTATTAATGTTTAAAAATAACAAAACATCACCAATAGGAAAGCAACTAAACTAACAGTGACCTTATCTAATGGCAAAAAGTCTTACTTCACGTCTGAACTAAAACCGATATCATGCAAGGCCGAATTTTAATTCTAAGGATGAGTGCGCTACGTTAATTTTCGTTATTTTGAAACAATAATTATTCGAGAATTAATGAAGCAAATTTCAAATTTTTTTGCACGGTTGATTAGAGAATAAAATCCCCTTTCAAATGAGCTATCACTCACCACCCCATGCCATTTAAATTTTTCGAAAGGGTTGCTCCCCTCCAGTAAGCGATGATATTAAGGGTAAACTATTCATACGAAAATGTACATTGTAGAAATCAAAAATCGACGTGTCTCGGCGATTTTCCTAACAAGACTCCAATAACGAGTTAGGTAGGGGGGGTAAGACTTATGATGCTCACTCATTTAACTTTTTCCATAATAGTTCAAGTTTCGTGTTTTAATACTCAAATATATTAGATTTTAAAATGTTACGTCACGAATTTTAGAATTCCTCCCACACAATGATTCACTTCGTCGACCCCCCTCTCGCTTAACGTGAGACGTAATTTATGGATGGCCCCTAAATATATTTGGGGTTTTTACCTTTTTAATTTAGATTCAAATTCCATTCTGGAGTTCGTTGAAGGTCGTGCAAAAATAATATTTATTTCATCTTTAAAATATTATTTTCTTTCATCTTTTTCACTTATAAATAAAATATTTTTTTGTTAAAAATATCCCGCAGATGAATTAACAAGTGAATAATACAAAACAAAATCGTCGATAAATGCTTTTCATGAAAAAAAAAAAAAAAAAAAAAAAATTACATAAATGTATAAAAAATAAAAAAATTCCCGTTTCTTTAATCGAAAATACTTCAAGGCACCCAATGATCGGAAGCTTTACGCAGAGTTTCTTCAAAATTAGAGTAAATAACATCGGAAGTTGATATGTTATTTTTCTGCGATAAAATTATCTTTCATTATTATATAGTGTTTTAATTACTACAATTTTATAACAGAAACCACATTGAATGCCTGAAATAACGAAGATAGATGATAAAATTAAATTGTAAGTGTAGTCTGTAGGCTGAGTGTTTCCGTAGTTATAGCACGTAATCACCGATCGGCAGGCATCAACATTTCTACAGGGAGGCTCTGAAAAATCTATTAAAATACGTCTAACAGTAATAATGCATTTTTATGTTTAAATTTTGTTGTTTTGTTGTTTCGTGCTACATTTAGTGATGGGGTAAATTTCCGGGAACGAAGTGTTCTGGGAATTCCCAGGATCTTTTTCCGGAAATTTCCCTAGGATTCCCAATACATTGTTGTGAATGTCAGCTTATTTTTTCTCTCTGTTTATTCGTGATAGGCAAGACACAATCAAAAATTAAATTAAAATATCCATAAAAAAAGATTTAACGATTTTAACCATTTCTTTCGGTCGCTCATAATAATAAGCGCAAAATAAATAACACCTGCAATTTCATAATACTAACAACAGAGAGAGTCTGCCAGACGTGTGGTTACCATATTCAAAAATACAATGAAAATTCCGGACATTTCTTTAAAAATCCGTACAAAATAATAAAATACCCACTTATGCAATAATTACCAAACGTTTTATTAAAAATTTACTTAAAAATTAAATATAAAACATTTCATAATATAAAGGGCATACACAAACACAACTGCACAAGTCAACAACCGTCTATTAAATACAAGGTGTACCAAAATTGCTGAGACACAGAGCTACTACGTGTAGTAGAGGTCAAAATAAGTCGATTTGACTCAATTTATTTATATACCAAAATGTA